CCGCCCAAACAAACAAACAACAACAAAACACAAACACACACGCACAAAGACACCACACGACACACCACCGACAACCCCAGCACCACACCACCACACACCACACGCACCACACCCACACCAAAGCACACCCGACATCCACCGCACACAGCGACACAACCACCACCACACCACCCACCGCAATCCCGGCTCACAGGAACAGACAGACCCCGCCCGCCGGCCCACTGGCCCGCGCGGCCCCGCCCCTCCCCCCCCCCCCCCCCCACACACCACACCACAGGCCACCAGCACACCACTGCCCAGCCGGCACACACCACACACACACACACATCACACAGAAACACAACACGTTGTTTACAGTTGTACAGAAAACTCGTGGCATTGCTAAGCTTGCACACTTCACTTACAACCACGCCAGAAACCATCTGTATAAGGATGACGAGGGGGGACGCCACAACCCACTTAATGTTTCTGACGAACTGTATTTCCGCTGGCCATTGGAAGCTTCCAGTTCCGATCCAGTGTGTCGCAGTAGTTCCAAAGCCATCGCAGCATTGTTGGCCATCGATTGAAAATTGACAGGCTATTGTGCCACCCACCGAAAACGCCACCGAACCAGCGCAATACACACCCTGCTCCCCCTGATACCACGTAATTTCAGCCGTGTCTAGTACAGGTGATACCTCCTCATTTCTTCTGCAAAAAATCAATATTGGCTGTAATTGCTTCGACTACTTGAAAAAAATGTCACTTAACATCTTGCTGTAATCTACATGCCGCCTGTGTGAACAACAAATACTCTAATCGTGGAAGAAACGTTAACGCAGTGATCATTCATTATGATCATATATATAAAAGCTGATAAAATTATAGTCGTACCTACAATGCATCTAGCTCAACCATTCTGATCTCCGCGAACTAGACCATTAGTCGTATACAGATTTTGGCTCTTGTAGAGTAAAGACGGGCTAACCGGTTTTTGTGTACTTCTGACTTTACGTCCGACGAGCTCGTAACCAGAATGCTTGTGAAGTTCTGCACTCCAAGCCCCCAATCGTCCGCGCTCCCTGATACCGCCGGGTTCGTTGCCGCCAGATGGGGCTGAAGTCCCACTGGAACAGTGTAATCACTCTGGCAGCGCTCAGAGGTGCATGGGTGAAGAGCCTCGCGATATCGTTATCAGCAAGAAGCTGAAAAAATATATGAAGTGTATAAATGAAAAAAAAAGCTTACGTGTAGGCACATGCATTGCTGTGTGTTATAGACATCACCACCAAAGATTTCTGTGATGCTGTTTGTTATACAACAGTAGCTTTCTGACATGCTTACAGCGTGGCAGGCAATGCAGTTACAAGTGTATCACTTCATTGTATGGCTTCCTGTGTTAACTTTCAAGGCTTCAAAGCCGTCCAAAAATTCCCTGGCCCACTGGTGTGATGCTGCTTGCTGAACTGTCAACACGAACGGTGGACAGATTTCGGCTTGCACTATTGTTATAGCTAGAAACATCCAAAGAATTCTTGGTCAGACAAAAACGACAATTTAATTTGCCTCCTCAATGTAACTCTAAAGCTAGTAAACACATTATATCCAATCATACATACTATATATCATTTTTATAGACCTTTAACCTGTAACCATACTACGTGTACATGCGTAATCTGCATGCTATCTGAACAACTCGTAACCCAGGAAATAAATAGCAGATTGTTGTTATTGCTTCTAAATGCAACTCCATGTATCTACTTGTAAAGGATGACATGCACAGAAACTGTCAGAAAGGCTACCAACTTTTAGAAAGTTGAGTTTCAAAATACATCAATGTGTTTTTAGAAAAACCACTTGTTTGACCATACTCAATGTGTTACGCTAAAAACACATTGAGTATGGTCAAACAAGTGGTTACTACGGATCATACTGTGTGTAAAGAATGAATAGGTCAAAACCACATCTTTGCATAATATACGCGCGCGCGTCTATGATGGGGAATACAACTTGTTGAAAAGGTGCTCACAAATTGCCTATAGCTGCTTACCACAATACATTCCGGCAACAAAAATTTTCTCCACGTCAACCTGCGCAACCTGCGACATCACTATCGACTCAATCGTCTTCAGCACGAGACAGAGGAATTCTCGCTGAGGGCCTCCCTGGTCCACCCTAACCTCCCCGTTGAAGCAGACAACAAGTGGCGATGCAATTTTCTCACTGTAATTACAAAATATTATCATAATACAGTGTAAATATTAAAAAAGAAAATGACATAATTCCTAAATTAAATTCAGCCTATTTTTGGTCTTTACTTCCTAAATGGAATGAGAACATATGGAATAATGGTGGTGCCATCGTTGTCCGCATCCACATCCTTTCCAAGTGCTATCCACTGAGTGCAGTGCAACCAACAAACTGGACGAAGCTGTGGTTATTAAAGATTGCTGAAGAGCTGTCACACGTGTTGCTAAAGAACCATTGGGAAACAAACCAAAAAGAAAGAGTTGCTCCAGAGCGAAATGCATCTTCAACTACTGTAAGCCGAGACACAAAGATGGTGTTGGCGCAGTCGCTGTCTTCCCACGCATCTTCGTCAGTGAGTGCATGACTACTTTTGAATGTGATGTACAAGTGACATGAACTTTGTGCTACCGCAGCTTGACACAAGGGATTTCTAAAAAAAAGTTGGAAATTGCATTTTAATATTACATCTTAGCATTTAAAACATATCATGTCAAAGTAATGATAAAGCAAACTGCAGAGCAGCATCATTACAACATATTTATGCGAAACAGATGTACATAAAACTAAGTGATTTCTGCTGTACTAGTGCTCAATTGAGTTTCACATTAATGGGTTGTTGAATGGTGACTACACAGTCATTTCTGTTAGTGAATTGTAAATTACATTTAATGTTATTGAAAAATGATACAAATTGGAATTGAAGAGAAATAAATGTCATACCTCGCTGACGACGAATCTCTGTAGGTGTCTGCAGCACCTGTGCAGCTGGAGAGCCTGCTGCATGCAGTTCACTTGGAGTGGCCGGAGCGGTCTGCTGCGGTCCACTTGGAGTGGTCGGAGCAACCTGCTGCTGTTCGCTTGGTGTGGCCTGACGTAGTTCATGTGTGCGACCTTTAAGTGCATAAACAAAATTATGATGACAGAAGTTTTTATTATTATAAACGGAGGTGAGATAAACTCTAAATAATAACTAAACAATGACGATTTCGAAAACGTACTTTTTGGTTGATAAAACATCTACCCAGTAAAAGTATCAATGTTTTACTTTTTTAAGCAGGTTGCTCAAGTAGCTCTTCTAGACTGCCGTCATCACAGGCACTTGGGACAGAGTCAGTAAAAACTGAAAATAATATTAAAGGCCTCCTTTAGTGATGAAAAATAGTTACATATATCAAATTAACTATGTTTTGTACAACTACTAAGAAATTCACAGGTTGAATGGTTTTCGGGTGTATGAGAAAAACGCATTTTTTGATGAACACAATGGTAAGAATTTGCAGGAACGCAAAAGCGCCACCTACTTTGGCGCGTGACGTAGTGTGACGTCAGACCAGGCACTCGCGCTTGTTTACCTGTTGCCAAGCGTGTAAAATGGAGCCTGTACAATGTACAATGTGAACACCGATTCAGAGTCGTCTCAAGACTAATATCAGTTTCGTACGATACGGATGAGCAGTCAATCAGCATTGATAAAGATGAAAATGAAGTAGACATAGACAATGAAGTTGAACGTGTTGAAGATAGTTGTATTCAGCCGCGTACATGTTTGAACCGTTGGCCAACGATTACCAGGGCATCGTTCAAGGCAACCGTGTCAAGGCAACGTGCGATGCCTTGTTCAAGTTCGTTGCCAATGTTCAAGGCAACGTCGAACCAGCAGAAGGAAGACTGCTTAATGGAAGTGTCGCTGAATGGTGAGTTTAGCTCAGTATTTCATTGTAGGTACTAGGTGTACATAATGAAATGTTTTTGCTTTCGGTACAAGCTAAATAGGCCTAGCCAAGTTTTTTCCAACAGATTATGCAACTGTCAGATTTCCCATTCTACAGTACTGACTAATTTTCTAAAGAGAGTAGCCTCAGTACTACAGAGTACAGTAGGCCTGACTAAAGAAAAGCAAAGCTGACAATAGTCAATAGTAAATGTTTTAGCGTAGTGGAAATTATGACAGGACATAGAATTTATGCACTTGATAATAGTAACAATGTTATTTCACGTGTAATGTGCATTTAGTACTTGTATCGTAAGAAACTCAGTGTATACGTACAGTACGAGTATAATAATCAATATATGCATGTAGTGTTTAACCCTGAGGTCAGCTGTAACGTAAAACTAACTGCGGTCCACGAACAAACAGAAAGTAGAACATAAACGTATTGCGTATACACTGTGAGCAGATTGGCATGAGCTGAGTAAATCAGCATATGGTTGGAACCATTTTATTGTCTGCAGATTAGCGGTTTTGATTTTGCCCGACAAATCTAGACAGAGATATATATATGGCCTTCAATCGACAATTGTGTGCTCTTATTGGCTTGTAGCACAAATTTTATTGTTGTGCACTGTATTCTGGGATAGCTTACTAACTTACTGCACAAAATATAGGTTTGCATTTTGTTACCTACATTTTGAGGTTCCTATAATTATAGACCTAAAAAGCATAAGTTCGAATTTTTTAATCTCTCTCGCTGAGTGATATAGAATAGACTATCTGTTTTTATCTCGCTGAGTGATATAGAATAGACTATCTGTTTTTATAATTTATAGTTGATAAAAACCTAGTCTTTTTGATAAAAACCCACACGCATGGTAGGTTTGGTTTAAAATACTCACCCAAAACAATTGCATTAGAGGCATGACTCCTATTTACAGTGTCAGGTATGTCCGGAGTATTGACCCTACTGCTACAAGGAGTGGCAACTGACGAGGGTTCGAAAATAGGCGAACGGCTCCGAAAGGATTCTGTTGTTTTGCGGACACGGTCTGTGGAATGGGTTTGTGATGCTGAAAATAGTAATGCAAAAAATAGATTATATCCTTTTCCAGCATTTGGTCATCACACACGCAGTGATACACTCCTATTATTTTATGCCTCAGCTTCATCTACGATTGATGTCAGACGGGATTTCTGAACATCATAATAAAAATAAGTCATGATGCCGCACAACTTCAGCACGACGTAGTGACATTTATTGTTTTCACCGCATTGTAGGTCTAATCGACAACAGCGCCCTCGTTTGCTTTAGTTTTTACGCCAGTTCCTCATTTGCAAATAGCGTTTAGTGATCATTTTGTGCTCAACCTTTTCCAGTTTGATATAATTCAATTTTCTACTATCACTGCAACTTACCAGAAGACATGATAAAAGCAAAGCAAAGCAAAGCAGGTGAGTTGTGAATTCACATAGGGAATTAATGTCAAGTCAGTTCTGAGAGAGCCAAACAAAATTGCCGTAAAAAAGCTCAATCTGTTTCTTCACGTGGGTAATTCAGGTTCAAAACGTTAATATTGTGTCCACTTTAACCTTTATTGCTTGAACTACTGAATCATGCTAATGATTGATTCGTTAGCTGAGCTAAAAATAATCACCTAAGTCTCGACCAATCAGCGCGCGGGATTTCCTATAATCACTTGGGTAATGATACTAAACCCTGGTATTCACTTTTCAAAGAATTTATACCACTTCAGTTCATGTTTGCTGTAGCACCTAACCATTGCACTATTATTTTTGTCTCTGCAGTTGGAGGTAGACTTCAAGGTCTTGCTTTACACCTGGGTTTTACTAAGTAGTTTTGCAAGGGGGCAAGCGCAGAGCAGTCTGACAGCACTGGATGTTAATATAGCGCATGTATGGGTGACAGGTCCTTGCAGCCAATTTGATTTCATTTTATTTAAAATAAGCCTAATTGTTACAACTCCTTCATTATGAAAGAGTTGTAACAATTAGGCCTAGTTGAAATAAATTGACTGCAAGTACCGTCCAACAAAGTCAGCTTGTAAAATGAATTTGTTTGGTTTGTATTGTAGCAATGACAGAAGTTGAAAATTATTGTAGCCCGATTAGGAGTTGCAGAAATAATGAAATAGTGACTTATGCGCTGCCACAACTTAGGCTACCCCGATGCAAAATCAATGCTACCCACTAAGCTAGGTTACCGTCTTTTTCGTTTAGCCACTTCTGCAGGCGATTCCATGTCGGAGGTCAGCAATACCTTCTCCATCTTCGTGTTGGCCTCTTCCCAAGATGCTAAAATGTAAAAAATTGTGCTGTCACCTATGGGCCATACATTAAAAATGCTAAATGTTGGTTGTTATATTGATTCCAAGAGTCTAGGCAGAATTTGACACAATAAATGGCTTAGGCAGAGATGTGAAATTGTAGGTGCATTCAAATGGTACTAAGCTGCAGGAAACAATCCCAGTGATTTTCCACATTCATAATTTTTATAGACTTCATTGCCCATCCCTAAAGTTATTTTCATGATTGCCTGTACTGGACGATCATGTGATTCTAAAAGCTGCATCTGACTATGTCAGATGAGCTAAAAAGAGTAGCTGTGTTAGCTGCAATGCTACATAGGCTATATACTAGTCATACTACGTACTAGGGTCAGAAAATGTCAAGTTTGCACTGTACAGCTGTACACCTCAGGGAAATTACATAGACTCTATCTCAAGTTGAGCGGTCCCGAGGAATGGATTTAGCAAACAGACACAGATTGAATATTATTATAATAATATGTAGATCTATCAAACTGTAACTGGTCTACTTACATGGTACGTGAGCACGTCTTCACGAACGGATGACTTCCACTCAGTGGTGGGGGAGTCACCATTCCTTGCTGCCTTGTTAATCCACATCGCAGACTTTTTATCAGGCCAGAGAACACACTGGTTGCCCTCCATATCCCACCAGTTTTCTGGGACCACTGCCACTTCATTGCCATCAATTGATTTAGAAAATTCCACTACAAAATACTCGATTATCCCCATGACCAGATCTTCAGTTCTAGACATACACAACACAAAAATTGCATCATTGATCAATTCAATATAAAGCAGCAAAATTAGCAGCAAGTTCTATATTTCTTAAGAATAAGATATTCCTGCTGTACCCAAATACCGTGTTTCAAGTTCCTCCACACCTAAAAGTTAGTCTGCCTGTTCGATAGATCTAATGACCAAGGGGGCTGTTCATTCCACGACCCTAATATAGGCGACAATAATATTATATCCACTCCTTTTACACCTGGGTGGGCGTTGCCTGCAGCTTTAATGTGTTAGGCCTAGACGTACCCGAAGCAATTGCCGAAAGTGTACATGTATATATACTACGGGAACAGATTATATGTATTTTAGGGAGGTCTAGTCTTAGAAATCAATGGGTGTGCAGACAGACAGGACAGAGATAGCCGCTATTTCAGACCAAAAGTTGTCACAAACATAACATCTGAAATTTCATTGCATAAAAATTACTTGAACAGTTAAATCTAGATTTGAACCAAACGCAGATTGAGGGGATGCTGCTGCATGAGCTGTAGTGAATTGGCCTGGGTCCCTTGATTTTAATAGTACAAACTACAAATACTTTGAAATCTTGCCGTCACAAGGAAAAGTAGCCTGCGGTGGCATTGTAGAGTCCTGTTTAAGGTACATGGACATGTAATGGTAAGTTTGAATTGTTTCTGAAACCAGGCCTAGTGGAACTGATGAAGAAGGGGGATAAGAACAAATGAAGTCTTATACGGTAACCTCACATACTTGCAAGAAATTTTGGACACACTCTCTGCTTTCAGCCCATTATATGCAATTAGTCCGACCTTTACAATACCAAGATCTGATGACTTGAGAGGGTACTCAAAGAACTCACGAACAACAGAGAATGGCTCAAAAAGTATGACGGGTTCTGAACTTTCGTCTTGTCCTAGATCATTGCAAATGTTCCTAATTAATCCATAATGTCGTCCAATCTTTACGCAATTGTCAGCATCACTAGTGGAGAAGAATAGATTTCCAAACTGAATGGACTCGTACTGAGTAAATGCTCTGTATTGCACTAATATTGGACCGTGTGTGTGTTCCTTCTTGAGAATACAATGTGACTTCTCTGTCTTGTGCCTTCTCGAACGATCAACTGACTTCATCTCAGACAACCGACGAATGACCTGGGGCAACGGCTGGTTTGGCTTTCGCACAATTTTCTTCAATTTACCTAAGAAATTTTCAAAAGAGAAATGGCTGAGAAGGAATCAAGATTGCCAAATCTGAATACATCAGAAGCTAAATGACAAAGGCCGTGTACATTGCAGGGTTCTCCCCAGGATGAAATTCAAACAGGGGGAGGGGGAGGGGGAGGGGGAAACTAGGGGAAGGTGGGAGGGGGAAACTAGGGGGTCCGGGGGGCGTGTATATTTTATCACGTACCACTATTAATGCGTAAAATCGCCACCACACCCATAGACGTATTTGGGTTCTTGTATATATAAGATAGCCGAGTCGGTGTACAGTTAGTGTTGGGTTCGGGACAGGTTAACTCTGTATTGTCTGGTTAACTGTCAGGTTAACTTGTGTACTGTCTGCAGTGCATGCGTGTTACGGTAAAAATATACACGTGTCGGGTGTCCTGGTCGAACGGGAATTCTTGACGATCGATTCCCGGCGCTGGAAACTTTTATTGTGGTGGAATTTAATCGGGCGGAGGTAATTTAAACGGGGCGCAACGATTGAAACAGGGGGGAGTTTTCCCAAACGGCCCCGCGCGCGCGCGAACGTAGGGAGAACCCTGCATTGTACACCAATTGGTCAATACCATAAAATTCCCTCCATTGTTGGACAAACAGGTGTAGGATACTTTGGGATTAATCACAATGGGTTGAAAAATGTAAGAGGGCTGGCAAGCAAAAATATGGCAACTGCTAAAAGCAAGATAGTGATAGGCAGGCTTTAGACAATTTTCCGCTTCAGCAACCACTTTTCCACTGTACAGTATGAATTGGCGAAACTCAGTAGCTTTCCACCTTTGGTATTTGATAAAGATCGACATTTACGAGGGAATTCCCGAGGAATATATTTTCTGACATGCTAGATCATCGAGATTTGGGAAGCAACGTTAGCACCAATACGACATCCTGTAGCAACAGGCCCCTTAAGCCAAACTCCATATGAGACGCTTCACTACTCCAAGTAAACCAGATGCATGGGATCATGCGGAAATTGTGTCACCGATGCCAAGTGATAGCTGGGTTAGTGGTGATACTCCAACATGATGAGTGGGCCTTGACATTCCTATAGACATAAATGCAACATCATTCCTTAGAGGTGAAGTGACGCTCAGGTAAAGTGACTTTGTTGCAGACCCAAATGCCCTTCTGCTCACACTTGTCACAGCAGCATAATAGGCATATATGCAGTTTTGTCTGTTTCCAACAATGCACGTGCAGGTGCGTCACACAATGAAGCAAGCTATCCCAAGTCTAATACGATAATTCCCATACAAACCCCTGATTTTGATCCCCTGATCTTCATCGTCTTCATTTCAGTGACAAAATCTCTAAGATATTCGTCAACGTTGACAGGCTTCTTATCGCCTGAGAATAATCCAATGACAAATGGATCAGAGAAAAAAGGCTTAGCAACTTTTCCTAAAATTGGCCAAAATTTAGTTTTGAACTTTTAAATAGAGGTAGCCCATCAATATTTACTTGAATGGACGACGCTGAATTCTGACAAAATACTCTGTATACCTTTTGCAATACCAAAATGATGATATTCCCCACCTTCGATTAATTGGTCTGATTTCATAATACTGAACTGTTTCAAGGAGAGTTCTAGGGCCTTTTGCAGTCTTCACGAATGAAATTTCTAAACACTGGACCTTCGGTCCACCAAGCCAGCAAATTTACTGGACCGGACTAAATTTTACTGGACCAATATTATTTGACATTTTGACAATAAAGAACAAAACTTAAACAGTAATCATTTTGTATTTTACCCCTAATAATACCTTCTACACACTGCTATGATAACAGTAGTAATACCTATCAAATATACATCACATGCCTTCTACACATGCACTACAATAAAAGCTGCAAATAGAACAACAAATCTGCGTTAGTCGTCAGTGAGCATGTATCACATACTAGAGGCCAACAGCCACTCCGTGGCAGCCATGAAGGGCCCACGATGAAGGGCCATGATGGGGGAATTGATTTTCAGTTGAATTTGACTTGGATTTTTTGATTGTTTGATTTTGTTGGTTTTTGATATTTTTGGATTTTTTTTTTTTGATTTTGTGGATTTTGTGGTTTTTTTGGTTTTTGGGGATTTTTTTGGTTTTTTTGATTTTGTGGATTTTTTTGGGTTTTTTTGAATTTTTTTGATTTTTTGGGGGGTTTTTAGATTTTTTGGGTTTTGGATTTTTTTGTATTTTTTGGGTTTTTTGGATTTTGGATATATATCTGCGATCTCTCTCCTCCCTCTCTCTGTGGACCCTGCGCTCTATATGCCCATCGTGGATTGAACTGTTGTATGCAACTGGGACTGTGCCAGGTTAGGAATGAATTGAGAATAAGACAGACATGATATTGCGTATAAATCCAAAAAAAGGCAAAAAATGGAAAATCGAAAATGCGAAATGTCTGGTTTATTGTGAATTCATTCCTAACCTGGTACAGTCAGAGGCATAGAGAGTTAAGCGCTAACAAAATACCCATATACCCAATATGCTTGTCCACTCCACAGACAGACAGAGATCGGCAGATATATATTATATATAGATACCTTTCTACCACACTGCTTATGATAACAGTAAGGATACCTATCAATATACATCGCAAACCTTCTCACACACTGCTATGATAACAGTAGGAATACCTATCAAAATTATCATCATATACCTTCTACACACTGCTATGATAACAGTAAGAATACCCTATGACGTTTGTTTAGCGATGAAACAAAGTTTAAAAAGTGTTATCAGTCCTTGTGTTTTGAAAAAAGCAGGCGAGTGAAAAATCACACGCCTTGGCTTGCCGAGGTGTGTGTGTGATTTGCATCCGAGTGCCCGCAGGTTACTAGGCAAACTATAGGGGGGTTCGGGGGCATGGCCCCCCCCGGAAAAATTTGAAATCTATACTTCATGAAATGCCATTTCCAGCATTTTGGGATAAAAATTAGCTCTGCATTTGTACTCTTAATTTGGACATTTTTTAGGCGATTTTTTTTCATCTAACAAAATATCAGTTCTTGAACATATTGGTGGATAACTTGAATCACACATTTAGCATGTTTAGTCAAAAGGAACAACACTCATTTTCAAAGCGGACTATTAAAACTTTAATAGTATTTGCAACATCATAATCATTCGCATCACTTGTTGCATTTTTGTCATTTGAGGTATTTTCAGTTTCATTTCAAGAAAAATAACATGTTTGTGCATAAAACTTCACTAAAAACCTCAATCAGGCTTTTTAATTTTCATTGTCATCTGCATCTTCATCATCAGTCTCGATCTGCTGTAGCAATTGAATACAGTAACAGTCATATTCATCATGTATGGCTCGCGTATGATAGGCCGGACGGTTTTGGTTTTGGTTTTGGGTGGGTTCGGGTGCAAAGCAGTCAACGCAGGCAGTAGGCTTTGTGAGTTACGACGGTCGAGGTGTGTGTGTGTTTACGGTTCAGTGTGTAACGGAAGAATACCAGAGTCAACGATACGTCCAGCTTTCGTCCGTGATAAATAAATGATGAGCGGATGAATTGATGTTAAAGACTGCTGTTGGTATAAGCGTTACAACCTGTCGTATAAACATGTGGAACCGACATTCCGGCAATGTCGTGATGTTTACAACCGTTTGCGTTTATCTTCGAGTTTATAAGTTGGATTAATGAAAAACAAAACACGAAGAGGTGTGCGTTTTGATGATACTTAGATGCGGCGTTTTTTTCGGCAGTTATTATACAGTAAGTAGTCTCATAAATACTTTGATAAATTATTTAAATACTGTAACTAAGAGTGGCTGAAAAAAACGGGTGACCGCGACGGTCCATTTAACTTGTTAATTTACTGGACCGAGAGAGATTTTGTGTGGTCTCGGTCCACGGTCCACCGCCTAACGTCGAAGACTGCTTTTGGTAAAGATGGCAAAGTGGGGACGAGCAGAATAGTAAGAAGGCCCCCGCAAGTGACTATGAGGAATTTGGCATTCTGCTGCCCAAGAAGCCAACTCATCGAGAGAATTGCTCCTTCCTGATATCCATCTGACACTGTGCTTGTTCACCACCAGCTTCAGACACACTAGCACTACTAATTAGTATCTTCCCAGACTCCAGACCCTGAATGATCATCCTCGTGAATTTGAAGGCGAATAATAGTCAAATCTTCCATGACGTCATTTTCAGAACAGTTATCATTCTGTATCAGAGGGAAGTTCAATTTACTCCTTCATCGGACAAGCTGTGGACAACCTGAAACTGACTGTCCCTCCGAATATCAGCAAACATTGAAAGTAGCAGGCATATGGGAATCAATCATCACTATCATCAGTTTCACTTTCCACTACATGACTTGGCCTATAATGCAATGGGCTCCGCTTCCACTCCATCACGACATAAATTTGAATCATCGTGAATTGCTTGAAGGCTAATGTTCTACTAAAGTTAAACGCCTACGCTTTCTCCCACAGTGACCAACGAGATAAACGTAAATGAGCCTTGACTTAGTCGCATTATATAACTAGGCCTACTATATAGCCTAAAATGATTTCTCAGAATTATTAATTTTTTGACTACGAATCTCAGCCGCACTAAAATAACGCACAGTGCTGAGAGTCGGTAGCCGTCGGGTGAAGGCCGCCTTTTGGTGCGTTCGGGTTAGGGTTAGGGTTAGGGTGGGTTAGGGTTAGGGTTAGTTAGGGTTTATGGTTAGTTTTAGGGTAGGCGTTTTAGCTCATCTAAACGGCATGCGAAATCGTGAATTTATTTCCCCAAAGCGGTTATTATGTCGAAATCGTGGCGCCGACCGCCATCCTTGTCCTGTTAAGTATGGAAGAGTGAATGGACTCCCGTACCCGGTAGCCTCGAGACATTAAATACCGTGCAGCGTAGCCGTAGCATCATGACCTGAATAATTCTGTCCGCCATATGAACGTTTTTATATTTTGGTGAGGTTATAGTTGGGACAGAAACGGGGTTCATTGAA